TTTTTATTTATAATTTCTGATTTTTGATGTCCATATATTTTTAATGTGTGGCCATTGACTTACCAGGGGCTACACTTAAGGAAAACTGGTTCTCCCTTTCCCAGCAGCTATCAAATGTCAATATCCAGGAGCTAGTAGTGAAATTTTGTGGCTATCTACCCTCTCCATGTTGAAATTTAGTCTGACTTAAATTTTAACAGGTCTTGTACACTGTCCTGATCAAAATGAGTTCATATGAAGAAGAGCCCTATGGTGCCCAGAAGACACCTTTTCATTGTCATTGGTGGGCTTCTAGCTCTTGCCATCCATTTGTCCTGCTTCTACAAAGATCTCTGAGCCTTGGGGAAGAGTTTGTGATGCAGGTGTTCCTTTTATGATTAGGCATTGCACAATTTCTTTTTATTTTCTGTACTTTGGCCAGTGGTGGGTTTTCAGATTAATCCCCATCCGTTTCAAATAGAAGCTTCTCAGATAAAGGTGGAGAGATGAATTGATCCGTGGGTATAAATTAGTTAATAGAAGCCTGTTTAATACTATGCCTGTTTCGCAGTGTGGTAGCAGTAGGTATTCCCCAAGATCTATGACCTGTCTGTCCCCAGGCTCATGGCCCTCATAATGATGCCAGGTTGTATTTTGTGGAACGGAATATAAATCCACTCAGAAAGTCCTTGGTTACTCCCATGATGTCCATGCTACTATTGCACCATGAGCATAACTTTCCAGGCCAATTCTTATTGTAGCTCACAGAGATCATAGCTAGGTAAGGTTGACAATTACTTTCTCATTCAGTAGTGTGCATAGCACATAGGGATGAGGTTTCTAGATCAGAACCAACACAGTAGCTCCATATTATATGTCATCTTCAACAATATGTTCTTATGTTCAAGTTCTGAGAATGACCAATAGCACTGTAAATATCCTGTAATGTTTGGGAATTTATGAGATCTCACTCACTCCAGGCACTGGGCTAATATTTTTAGCCTTTGGTGTCTAGTAGTAGTTAGCATTTTCCAAGGTCCTAACTCAAGGTTATCACAGAATGAAGATACAGACATAGGAATGAAGGGGCAATTGTTAAAGAGACATGTTGACCAGTGTAACTGGCAGCAAGTGTTCAGTTTGATGATGGTGGTACATCAGGTACCTCTGTTCACACAGCATTAGAGACAAGGTGTTAACCTTGAAAAGGAAATAGGGAAGTGACTATTTCCAGAAACAAGAAATATTTGTGCCTGTGGAATTATGTGCTTTCCAGTTTGAATACATATGGAAATGACTGTCTATGTTCAGAATGAATAAGGGTTCTAGTAAGAAAGGTGTGGAACCAGAAAATAAGTAGTAAAGCCTCTGTGCTAACCATGTTAACAGTGGTGATCCACAGCATAAAAAGAGATGCTACAGGAAGCAAAATTAAACACTTTTAAATACTAAAGTTTGTGTGATCTAAACAGTTTTGTGTTCATGATGCTGAGAAGGTCAAATACACTTTGGAGTCAAGAGAAACATAAGAAAGTCCTTTCTACTTGTTCATTAATTCTTTGGTGAGTTTGGACAAAGATCTTGTCATAGTGTAACTACGTAAATAACAACATAAAAACATCAGTTGCATATTTTGATAGTAAAAGCTGGAGTTAACCACTTCTTTTGCTTTTATTCTCTCATTTTAAATATTACTTTTGTGGAAGTATAATTTGAGATGTGAGAGAGAGAGACTTTGGAAAAGTGAAAGAATAAATGGGAGTTATCTTTGACACCCAAATGCAGACCTATTCAGAGGATAACTGTGCAATAACTATACTAAAATGCAACAACAAAATTTATAACTTGGGTGACAGAGGGTAGTGACATTATTTCTGCCTTGTGCTCATGTGGAAAACCTAACTAGCATCAATGTCAGAGTTGGTTCACAATCTTCTTGTTAGTTATGTGAATGTTGAGGCTGGTTGTGAGCTTTCCTGTTTGTTCAGTGTATAATGGAACAAGCTAGTGTGCATGTATGTATGTGCATATGTGTGAGTGGGTATGTGTGTGTGTTTGTATGTGTGCATGTGCCAGTATGTGCTTGTGTGTGTGTGTGCTCGTGTGGGCGCATGTGTGAAGATTGTTAAGTGGTGACATAAGACTCATTTAGACAGTCATCAGATATGGAGGGTAGAATTAAACTAAAAGAGGCTCTTTCTAAAAACACCCTAAGAGGATAAAAAGCTGTTTGTATTGTCATACTGTAGGCAATGATCTGAACTCTTATACTTTCAATGAAGCAGAATACAGAAGGATGAGATTGTCTCATGCATTTTTTCTGAAAGTAAAAATAGCATCAAATGGATACAAGATATGACAGCAAAGTGTGCATAAGAAAGGGGGTGTGAAGAGCATTCTCTATGAAAGGATGGCCACATGAGTATCTTATCTCCTTTTCCTTACCTCCTTTCTGTGGCTAAGTAGACATAAAGCTATTTACATTTATAAACTACAACCAATCACTTAATTTGGGCATATAAAAGGCATTCCATGACTTTATGTACATTAGACATTGCATATGTTGCAGTATTATATTAATATTAAAGTGGCCAAGAAGCACTTAAGGACTAATGATGGGCATGAAGACCTTGTAGTTTTACTCAAAAACTTGTAGTTTGTCTCCTCAAAATATTTTACAGGTACAAATCTGATACAGAATCTAGCAATAAAGAAGGGGTCACCATACATTTTTCAGATACTTCTTTTGAATATCTAAAACTCTTAATGTTATATTATGCTTTAACATGCATTTTTTTGAGTTTTCATTATATTGTGACTGCCAGTAGATGGCGGACTTTGGGTCTCTCCTGAAGAGTCATGTGGAGTATTCAAAGTGCTCAATAAACAGTTGAGCAAAGGAATGAACAGTGATTATACTTTATATCTATGCTGGATATAACAACTGCTCAAAATAATAAATGGGAGTGGTGGTCATAAGAATTAGCCCTAGACATTTGCAATTTACATTCATTAACTCAGATACATACCACAAACATAACAGATATTTTGTAGAAAAGTAGAAAAATCAGATACACTATACATATAAAGACTTAGGGATCTAATTATATGTTCTTATTTTGTTTGCTTATATGAGTGTAAGTTAATTATGTGAGGATTTGGAAAAATACATGAGAAAAAGTAACTAGTAGGACATTTCTAATTGGTAATTTTGGTAGTGGGAACCTGCTTCTACACAGAGCTCTTTCTTCATCAAGAAGCAGTTGGAATGGAGTGAAAGTCACTTTATACCTCAGATGAATTTCACCAAAGCATTTACAGAAGCAGCAATTATTTGCTTATCTATGATTTCAAGCATTGTTTGTACAAAAGTTATTTACCATTTGAAATGCTTCAAACACATGGAAAAGCTGCAGAGTGTGATGCAGCTGCGGATGTAGATGTTTGCACATAGCTTGCATAGCATGTATGAAGCCTTGGGTTTGCACTGCTGCACCTGATACTGGCACTACAAACACAGAGACAAGCAAAACAGAAGTTCAAAGGGCTCCCCAGCAGGACAGGCATCCTTGGCCTATCCGAGACCATGTTTTAAAAAATGAAAGCTAAAAATATAATGAATGCAGAGGTAACTGACACTTATATTGAAAGCAAACTTAAGGAATGCATAACTACTTACCATGAATATTTCTAGTTTTTAATTTAATATTTAAAATGGAAATATGACATTTTAGAGTTCTCCAGTCATATGCTTGCTGTTCATGAGATTGCAAAACCTTTTTATATTGAGTCACGGGTTGAAACAATTTCATTTGAACACATCTATAATCCCAGTACTCAGGAGACTGGGGCGGGTGGATTACATAGCAATACCTTGTCTCAAAAATAAATAAATAAATAAAAGCAATGAAGAATAAGTAGCTTTGTAAGTCTTAAATTTAATTCAAAAGACAATTGCTTGAAAATAAAGAATGTGTTGCTTATGAGGCTAATGTTTTGCTATTTTGCACTACTTGCCATTCCCCGTTGCCTATGGTTTGTGCGCTTCTTTTCCCCATCATACTGTATTATGACAGTGAGCTTTGTTTCCAGACTTTTAGCACTGGTCTGGATGCACAGCATGAGGTAATGATAGAACTCAAAGTTCTAATTTTTTTCTGATAATACTTAAAATATTCTGTGATAAACATTTTTTAAATCCTACAAAATGTTCAATCGTCACACTTTTAGATAACCTTATAATTTGTTATATTAAATTTCACACTTGTTCACAGTCAATGACATATGAAATACAGCGTTAATTGTGTATATGGATACATACATGTGTCTCTCTCACCTATGTACATTCCTCTTGTGCTCTCTCCCCCTTTCTATAGTTTAAACATGCTCATATACATTATCTACTATCTGAAACACTTATCTTCATAGAGTTTACAAGGAATCAGTGTTTTCTTTGCTAAATCAATCTATTTCTGATAATTAGAGAGTTGCCCATAGAAGTCTCTTTCTAACTTAGCTTGGTTAATTTTATTTCCCCATGTGTGAATATGTTTACTTGAAGTAGAAGTGATGTTCCTCTAACTTAAGAAATCAGTAATGTTTCATAATTTGATCAGTCTACTCTGGGTTGTATAACTAAAACCTGGTGATGAGCCAACAGCAGAAAATGCATATCATCACATATTAATGGAATCTAATAAGTTAAAATTCATGTTTTTATTATGTATTACTGTCTATTTCTGGAACTAACCTATCTGAGCAAATCATGGGTGAGGAATAACAAAATTAGCATTGGAGGCAGAATAAAATCATATTGTTTTCCTGGTTATTTTCTCTAAAATATAGTATGCTTATTCTCTGAGGTTCATTACCTCCCATAAAGTGAAATTTTGCATGTTTGATTGAAATAATGACTGTATTTGATTCTTGGAATAATAAATTAAAAATGGTGGCAGGCATGCTTTTAAGACTTGTGTTTTTGTAGTGTTATCTTAGTGATGATGCTTATATGTTATTTCCAGATCAAAGAGTGGCTCTGTTTAAACTGTCAGATGCAAAGAGCTCTAGGAGGTGAACTGGCTCCAATCCCATCCTCACCCCATCCCAGTCCGAAAGCTGCCTCTGTACCTCCTGCAGTGGCAGCCAGCAAGCCACCTGTACCATCACAGCCAGCATCCCCAAAGAAGGAACCTCCACCCAAACAGGAGAGCCCCAAAGCACCTGAGTTGAAAAAGCCACCGCCACTGGTGAAGCAACCAACCCTTCATGGACCTGCCACAGTTACAGCCCCAAAGCCTTCAGTGGCAGAGGCCTTACCTGCAGCATCCCTACCAGAACAAGACAAGGCCCCTGTTCCAGATGTTAAACCAAAGCAGCCCAAGATGGCAGAGCAGCGTGCAGATGTCCAATCCTCAGTAGCAGCAGCAACAAAGTCTGATGTTCTGAGCTCTCAAGTGCAGCCTCAGGCACAAGAGCAGGCAACACCTCCTTTAAAAACAGACTCTGCCAAGCCCTCCCAAAGTTTCCCGCCAACAGGTGAAAAAATCACACCATTTGATTCTAAAGCCTTGCCTAGGCCTTCATCAGACTCAAAAATTATTTCACATCCTGGACCCAGTTCTGAGAGCAAGGATCTAAAACACATTGACCCAACTCACAAGAAGGAAGAGCCCAAGAAAACACAAACCAAAATGAGTCCTAAACCAGATGCCAAACCAGTGCCAAAAGGGTCACCAACACCCTCTGGCCCAAGACCTACCACTGGCCAAGCTGTATCCCCATCTCAGCAGTCCCTAAAGCCTCAGGAGCAATCAAGACGTTTCAGTTTGAATCTGGGCAGTATCACCGATGCCCCCAAATCACAACCCACAACTCCTCAAGAAACTGTGACTGGGAAACTGTTTGGGTTTGGAGCATCCATCTTTAGCCAAGCATCAAACTTAATTTCCACAGCAGGTCAGCCCGGGCCTCCTCCTCAGACTGGGCCAGTGGTCCCAACAAAGCCAGTCCCTACCCCATCACAGACTCCTGCTGCTCATGGACCACCCAAGTCTACTGGTCAGTTCCCACCAGCACCTGCCAAGGCCATGCCTGTGAAGAAGGAAACAAAAGCTCCAGCAGCTGAAAGCTCAGAGTCCAAACCTGAGCCAGCTCTAGCAGTGAAGAAGATAGAGAAAGACAAGAAGCCCCCACCTGGTAAGGTCAGCAAACCTCCACCTGCTGAGTCTGAAAGTGCTCTGCTCACCCACAAGCCGGATAAGATCACCAAAGTTGAGGCGAACTGCCCTCTCTGCAAAACTGAACTCAACATAGGCTCTCAGGAGCCCCCCAACTTCAACACCTGCACAGAATGCAAGAGTCAAGTGTGCAATCTCTGTGGATTTAACCCAACACCCCACTTGACTGAGGTAAGAAACACCTACAGTACATATGGATAAGATGATAGATGAATATTATTCTGAATATTTAGGACTATTTATTTCTGAGCAATAAAAAGGTTTGTACTGAAAAAAAGAAATGAATATTGCTATCTCAGAAGAGATTAAAAATATTTCCTCCACACATTATTAAGAGTTCTTGTTCTTTGTGCTTTTATGGGTTATTACTTAAACTAAAAGTAAGAGATGGACTATCCTAGAAAACTAAAGTGATAGTGACCCTAGTCTTTTATTAATTAAAGACCCAAGTGAGGAAGGCTCTTTAGTTTTCATACGGGAAATCTACATAAAACTTGTAATACATAGTTCTCATTTTCTATAATCCATCTTCTGTCTTTAATATAGTTTATTTTTTAAATTTATTTTACCTTACTTTGGAATTCATGATCCTTGCTTCAACCTCTGAGGTCGTGAGAGGTTGGGCATATGCTACCACACTATGGTCTTTAATTCATTTTCAAATAGAACTTTGGTTGATTAGATTCATATACATTATGAACAAAATTGTTGAAACCTTTGTGTAAGTTAAGTACATTATCTGGTAAGATTAGTGGTTCACATATGATTTTCTCTATGTCTGTTGGTGATGTTGTCTGTTGATTATAATAGAGTACATTTCTGGGAGCTGTGGGAGACAAATATGTTCCTGTGACTAATGAGAAGAAGACACTCTAATGAATGGTGTCAAGAACGCTATCTCCACAATGAAAATAATCAAAATAGAGTTTGTGACTCTCTCCCTGATAATGTAGATGTCAATGAGTGAATGAGTAAACATCCATATCATGCTAAGGCTATTAGAATCTTCGGATATAGGATACTCAAGGGTGAAATGACTACTACTACCTTAGATAAATAAAAACAATGCCTTAATAAATATTTCTAAAATTAAAACAAGTGCACATTACTTTTTATTTTTCCTTTTATTTGTCTCACTGTCTTACATCTTGGCCACAGTTTTCCCTACCTCCTTACCTCTCAATCCCTCCCACCAACCTATCCACCCCCATTCACTCCCCCTCCTCCATTTCTTTTCAGAAAAGGGCAGACTCCAATGGATATCAACCATCTGTGGTAAAGCAACTTGCAGTGAGACTAGCCACCCCCTTTCCTATTAAGCCTCAAAGAGGCAATCTGGGAGGAGGAAAGGGTCCCAAATGCAGATGGCAGTGTCAGAGACAGTCCTTACTCCCACTATTAGGAGTCCCACTAGAAGACCAAGCTACACAACTGTAACATATGCAGAGGACATAGTTCAGGCCCATGCAAGCTCCCTAGGTGTTGGTTCAGTCTCTCTGAGCTCCTATGAACCAAGCTTAGTTGATTCTGTGTGTTTTCTTTTGATGTCCTTGATCCCACTGGCTTCTACAGTCCTTCTTCCCTCTCTTCTGCAGGCTTCCCTTAGCTCTGCCCGTTATTTGACTGTGGGTCTGCATGCTTCCATCATTTGCTGGATGAATCCTCTCTGATGCCAATTGGGCTAGGCACCAATCTAGGAGTATAGCAGAATATCATTTGGCATCATTACATTGATATTCTTTTTCCTCCAGAAATGTTTGGTTCTATACTAGGTCTCTGGGCCATCAAGACTGTGTGCCCTGATGCTTTAGGCAGTGTCAGGGTAGTCTTACCCTCTTTGCATGGGTTTAGGCTTCATTGGTTGACCACTTACTTAATCTCTAGGCCACCCTTACCATAGCACATACCATTGGCAAGACAAACTGTAGGCAGAAGGTTATGTGGCTGGGTTGGTCTCCCAATCCCTCCGCTTGAATCCTTCCTGGTCACAGGAGATGGCCAGTTCAGTCTATATATTTCCTATTTCTAGGAATCTTAGCTGGGATCATCTTGTAGATTCTTGGGAGATTTTCATGTGTCCCCGTTTCCAGTAGTCTCTTTCTATACTCTCTCCCTCCATCAACCCCCAACCTAATCCTCGATTGCTCATCTTGTTTCCATCCCCACCTGCCTGCAGTTCATTGATGAAGTCTATTTCCCCTTCCTGCGGAGATCTGGGCTTTCCCCTGTTCGGCCCTTACTGTTAACTATTCTCTCTGTGTTTGTGGATTGTAGCATAGTTACCCTTTATTTTACAGCTAATATCTACTAATGAGTGAGCACATACAATGTTTGTCTTTCTGGGTCTGTGTTACCTCACTCAGGATGATTTTTTTTTCTAGTTCCATCCATTTGCCTAGAAATTTCATGATGCCATTGTTTCTAATAGCTGAATAAAATTCCATTGTGTGAATGTACCACATTTTCTTTATCCATTTCTCAATTGAGGGGCATCTAGGTTGTTTTCAGGTTCTGGGTATTACATACTTCAGCAAGTGTCCTGGTGGTATAATTGGGCATCCTTTAGGTATAAGCCGAAGAGTAGTGTCACTGGACCTTGTGGTAGATTGATTCCAAGTTTTCTGAGAAACTGCCCCATTGACTTCCAAAGTGTCACTATAAGTTTGCAATCCCACCAGCAATGGAGGAGTGTTCTCTTTGCTCCACAGCCCCTCCATCATTAGCTGTCAGTTGTGTTTTTGATCTAAGCCATTCTGACCCGGTGTAAGATGGAATCTCAGAGTCATTTTGATTTGCATTTTCCTGATGGCTAAGGATGTTGAACATTTCTTTAAGTGTTTCTTGGACATTTGAGATTCCTCTTTTGGGAGTTCTCTGTTTAGAAATGTACCCCATTTTTAATTCAATTATTTGGTATTTTGATGCATAGTTTCTTGAATTATTTATATATTTTGGAAATCAGCCCTCTGCCACATATAGGGTTAGTGAAGATCTTTTTCCAGTCTGTAGGCTACAGATTTGCCCCATTTATAGTGTCCTTTGCAGTTTCAAGAGTTCCCATTTAGTAAGTATTGATCTTAGTGTCTGTGCTACTGGTGTTCCGTTCAGGAAGTTGTCTCCTGTGTCAATGTGTTCAAAATTATTTTCCACTTTCTCTTCTGTCAGGTTCAGTGTATCTGGATTTATTTTATTTGATACGTTTGGACTTGAGTTTTGTGCAAGGTCATAGATGGGTCCCTCACTTTTACACAAATCAGAACCACGTGATTACTCTTTTAGTTTCCTGTGTCTGATCTTGTGAATCAATCAGGCAGAGCTGAAGAAGCTTGGACAAGACATGTCAGAGAATCCTTAAGGTTTGTCTTACTATTTTAGCACCAATTTAAAAAAAAATAAATTTTAATTAAAGTAGAATGACCTTACTTCCCCCACACCCCGTTTCCTTTCCTCTCTCAGTCCCTCCCATGTCCAGGTACCCTCCCTCTAACCCTTTCCATGCCCCAGGTAAAGGGATGCACCTAGAAAGACTATCTAATTTTTAAAAGAACAAGCATAGAGAGTTCTATCTGTTCACTATGAAAACATAGGACCTTGCTGTGACTGTGCTAGCACCCTGTGAAGGCACCTTCACTGCAGGGTTCAGTAGGGTTCTTTTCTCAGCTATGATGAGCCTTGCTAACAATCATCTTTAAACAAAGATACATATTGTTTTCTTAGCCCTTTGTGAGTGCTGCCTGTTCTTATTGTCTGCAAACCAACTCCAGTATAAATATAAAACACAAAACAAAATTTAATTTCTTCACAGTTTTAGAAGGGCATTTTGGTGGTGGTGGTGGTGGTGGTGGTAGTGGTGGTGGTGGTGGTAGTGGTGGTGGTGGTGGTAGTGGTGGTGGTGGTGGTAGTGGTGGTGGTGGTGGTAGTGGTGGTGGTGGTGGTGGGGGTTGTGTGTGTGTGTGTGTGAGAGAGAGAGAGAGAGACAGACAGACAGACAGAGAGAGACAGACAGAGCATTCATCCTGACTATAATTTTTCATTTTCCCGGTACAGCTGTATTCATTTGAGTTGTTCAAAAAATTGTACCCTTTAATGAGCAACCTTATGGTGTCAACACAATGCATTTATTGAAGTAGCTTTGAAGCAAACAGCACTACTGAAAACAAAGCTGCAATTTCTATATTTTCTTAATGCAAACATGTATATAGTGCAAGGGAAGGATTATAGCTTATCACATTTACAGTGTTGTATATATATATATATATATATGTATATATGTATGCACACACACATTTATTTGTCTATGAACTAATTTGCATTTACCATATTTGACCCATCATAATCATTAAAACTCTGTCAGAGTTTGGAATAATAAAATGGTAGTCCCTTGAGTGCAGAGTCAGTAAATCTTCCCTGGGAACCTCTGTTATTATGTATGTTGGTTAATCGTGCCTTGAAGGAAATAGTTTAGAAAGGAGACTACTTGAATAAATTACAGAATTACCCAGCATGTGTAGAACTTTAATTTTGGATAACTTAAAGGTGTAAGTTGTCCAAAGTTTTTAGATAGTTTTGGTCCCATTTTAAATATGACCCAGCAGGATATAAAGTATCTGCCACTTTTCACATTATTGTACTCTGCAGTAATTTCCTTGAGTTTAGAAGATCATACTTCAGGGGAGTGGAAGATTTAATATAGAAAAAATGACTAGTGTTCTCGATTGTGACCATGGTAAAGAGCTCAGTTGGCATAAGACCTCACCTCTGCTGTTGGCAAAGTCTATTGGCTAGTCTAATATGAAGGAAGTGAATGAAAGTTAGTTCAATTATTTTATGTTCAAATAGTTCATATTATTATTGTCTGCAAAACTTCAGAGGAAGAGCAGATGGGTTGGCTGAAAAGGATGGTGATACAAAGTGTTTGCTTGTGTGTATGCATTTACATATATACACCCCATACACATATAACCTTGTATATCTTTGTATTTGTATTCTAATAGGCAGATTTATATGTGACCAAATAATTCTAACCATTTAGACTTAATTGACAGCAGGAGCTAAGTATTCATACTAAATATTTTTCCTTTTATTTCAATTGGAAAATCATGTTCTTCTCATTTTATTTTGGTCTTTATGCTTTTTCATTTTTTTCGTGGCATATTTTTTCTGTGATTCAGTGTTACTGTACTGTTAGTTCAGGAAGAATATTCTCAAAATACTCATACTTACTCCAAAAGTACAAAGAAACAATGTTCCTTAACATAGTCAGTGTTTTCCATTTATTTTCTGGAATAGGTAACTGTTCTCAAGTCTGGTTCTCTAACTCTGGTGACTGAGGCAGATGCTGTCCTAGCGATGCTGTACTGCCTTCCTGCCACACGTTCCTTTGGTGGTGAAACGAGATCCACTGTAGTTTTGTGTTGGACCTACAGACAGTATCCCACCTGCCCACTCCTTACCCAAACACAGCTGGCTCTAAGGTTGCTTCCTGACCCTCTTGCAGATCATCCCTCAATGAATCTAGTATCTAGCCTGAGCTTTGCTGTTTAACTGTGTGTGTGCTGACCAGGTTGTAGAAACAGTGTTACATTCCATGATTCTCTCATAGCAAAACCAGTTCTTTAAGTTTAATTTTTGTCCACCCAAAGTGTGGCTTATGTTGTATGAAGTTTTAAAAGTTGCAGTTTGCCTTCCTAAAAGAGCTGCAATTAGCAAATCTGGAGGAACATGGAGAAAAACAGCCTAGGTTGGCAATGGCTTCCCCTACTGAATTCTAATAATTCTCATTTAGTTCAAATGCAAATGCTGCCAAAATTACCCTTTTTTGTGGGTATTTATTTTTGTTGTTTTTGTCACTTTTCTGACATAACTTTTTACCATGAAAATAAGACAACGTGAAATGTACTTCTTCATGCTGAATGAAGTCTTAGAGTCATAATTTTGGTTTCTTGGCAAGATGATTTTGCGTGGTAGAAATAACTAGCATATATTTGTCACTAGGCAACAAATGAGCCTTATGAGCTGATTAAGACCCTGTGGTGAGACTATGATCCTTTCAGTTCTTTCTCTTTATCTGAGGTGGCTTCTGCATTCTGCATCACTTACAGCTGGCCTAGTGGAGATGAACCATATTAGTTTAGCAATGCACAATATCTTTCATTTGCTTTAATGAACATGACTTAATACTGTGAAAAGCATATGCATAAAAACGTTTAAAAATATGTCTATGGGTAATATCATGCACAAAAAATTAAAAGCTAAATGATCACAGAGCAGTTATTAATAAAGGGCTCTACTAATAATCAGTTTTAGATGAATCATGTGGTGGAACCTTGTAGTCTGAGTGGATATTTCTGACCGTTGTTATAGAAAGATACCTTGTGCGACTTTCATACAATGTTTATAGTGTGGTTAGAGATGTTAAAGTTATTCAAGTTCAGGATGAAT